AGTTTTGGCCTCCCAAGATGGCGGCGTATTTTGTTGATTACAAATTTAGAAATATTTGTTACGAACTTTTATACTTTTTTAATATGAAAATAAATGTACAAGCCTCAAACAAGAATGAAATTTTCGGTTTTACATAGCAATTGTTTTAGAAAGAAACACAATTGTACATATTTACGTAAATTTCTAAAATATATATAATATTTTAGTTATATAATCTAATTTAACAATTTCCAAACAACTTTCTAATAATTATTTTTAATGTGAAAAACGGAAATAATTTTAATCATTTTTTATATATATTTAATTTATTTACTTTCTTTTAATTTTAGTTTTACAATAAATTAAATGTTTGTTATTGCTTTTTGTACAAATTTATGTACTTTTTAGTTCTTAACTACACAATGCCGTTTGCTAGAAGGTTAATAACACAACTGCATGGTAGGCAGCTGAATATCTTTTTGAAATAAACTATTATAGATTAGTTTTTCAAATAGATATCACAAATTTACAAATGCTGCATGAACTATTAGCTGAGCTCTGTGAGTACACACAACTCAGGGGTTCCTTCTAGAATTTTTTTTTTATATATAATTTTATGTACTTTATCACTAAGCATATATATATATATATATATATATATATATATATATATATATATATATATATATATATATATATATATATATATATATATATATATATATATATATATATATATATATATATATATATATATATATATATATATATATATATATATATATATATATATATATATATATAGTATATATATATATATATATATTTATATATATATATATGTAATGCAGATACTTTTTTTGATGCCATTTTAGCTATATATCTGGCAATATATGAGATCAAAGCTTTTTCTGTATTTAGATAGAATGATAGAATGCTGCATTTGAAATATCTGCAAATTCGTGGTCACTATAAGTTGGTTTTCTCTTTAACAAATCATATTTTTTTGTTAATTCAATTTTAATCAGATATTTTAGTACTGGAGTCAGCAAAAGAATTGTCTAAAACTCTTGAAATGTAAGTTTTATCTCTGATGCTGTAGTTTCCATTTGAAAATTGAACCCTACTTCACACACAGTTGTTTAATGTGGCTGTAAACTGTTGGCAATTGATATTGTTGTTAAACATTCTTGCAAATCTCACAGCTAAACAAGATCTCACAGCACAATAAAGAACTTGTTAGATGGTTTTGACTGAGCTTATATGTTAAATAATTTTATAGCAAACCTTTTTCTACTCAGTCGAGATATATATTTTAATTGCCAATGAAACCAGTTTTTAGACTAGACAAATTCATTTGCATAACAGTTAATCTCTATAAGACTAATGATATTATTATATACCATGTCAAGAAATGGAAAACAAAGAGCATTGTTGCAAATAGGTTTTGTGAATTCAATATGTAATGTAATCAATCTTTTATGCAAATAAACTCAACAACATATTTATATAATTATTTAACTGCAACATACAGTTTAATAATATAAAAAAGTCAGCCTTTATATAAACTATAACATATAACCATAATACTTAACAGCAGGTAAACAGTATATATAACTTTAGTTAATGAGATATTTTAAAGAGGTGTTTTGAATATTTCTATATTAAAAATTTCATAAATTTGTTTTTTTAAACAAATGTTTGAGGATGTATATAAAATTTATTACATACATCTTCAATTCTATTGAGTGATTTAAATTACATTTCAATTCAATTCTATTGAGATGCTTTAAATTACAAGAAATGCTTATTTACTTTTTTTTTTTTTTTAAAGTTGATATAAATAACTATAATTTAGACCTGTTTTTTTTTTTTTTTTAACCAGCATAAATTACACTTTAGAATGTTTTATTCAAATAATTTATGCAATAATAAAATTATAATATAATTCTAGAAAGAACCTCTGAGTTTGTATACCCCTGTATACTGATTCAGTTAATAGTTCATGCAGCATTTGTACAAAATTGTATCTTGCTACAAAAAAAAGAGAATATAAAGTTGTAGATAGAGATGATTGCTGCTTACCATGCTGTTATGTTATTAACCTTCTAGCATACAGTATTGGGTAACCAAAAACTAAAAGGTACATAAATTATACACAAAATTTAACTAAAAATGTAAATGCCATTTAATAATAAATTGAGTTATTCAAAAAACAATTTCTTTTTTTTTTCTCTAATATTTATATAATTCATTTGTTTTCTTTTATTTTTGACAAATTTATTAGCCTTATTTATTTATTTTCTATCGTAGTTTGATAAAGCCATATAAAATCTATATTGGTTTCACCGCTAGGAACTTAAATCGCCGCCATCTTGGGAGGCCAATTTCGGCCTCAACTTTATTCGGAAATAACAATAGAATCCGCTATCCAGTTATATTTTGAGATCAGTGATATAAACATGGCAGAGTTAAACGGATTTTGTTCGAATATCAAATATCTATTTTCGAATAATAAAAACCGACTTTAAAATTTTACGATATTTTTTAGAAAGTAACTTCGTAATTATGACGATTATTGTTTGACAAATGTTAATTTATCAAAGATTATAATATATTTTATTTAATAATTTAAATAATAATTTAATCAGTTTTGTTTGATAATATATTCTTAAAACAATTTACAATAGAAATCTCAAAGATTTATTTATTACTTTTACAACTCAAGCAATACATTTTTAAGAAAGTTTCTTCAGAATATTCTGGAACTCTAATTCGCTTATTCAGCGTATTTTTTGAACCAATAGAATTTGTTTATTCGTAGATTTGGCGGTATTTTAGTGTTAGCAAATATTCTTTAAATTATCTTTACAGTCATTCTGGGTAACTTTGAATTTGCGGGTAAGATTGAACTAAACGTGTAATAGATCTTGTTTTTAAATTTTTTTTTTCTTTGGTATTTTCTTTGCCTGTTGCTTTAACAAAGAATAATATAATGAATTATCAGTTTTTACAAAAGTTTGACCAAAGAAAATTAAATTTTATTTCTCAAAAATATTATTTTCCTCCATTTCCAGTTACACTGTCAAATGTGGTGATAACATCGTGTGTTTTCAATTTAGAATATTTGGTATTATATTGTAATTATCAAAATAATAGGATTTAAAATGTTTTTTGCTACAAAAAGGATATTTATTTCCACTTAGCTAAAATATAACCAAATTCAGGGTAACTTTAGACAATCAATATTTTCCAAAAATGCTTATTTTGCTGTCTGAGTACCATTGCAATAATACATAATAAGTAATAGGCATCCTTTTATTATAGTATTTTTATTATATAATGATATATGATATTATAAATATCAAAAATTATAATATCTATTACTATTATACTATATTAATTTTTGATATTTATGGCTATCTTGATAGATTTAATAATATATCTTATTAATAACAAATATGCAATTAATTAAATAATTTTCATTAATAACATAAATCATCTTTATATTTTTACCATTCATAAAATGCCAAAAAAATGTTCGACAAGTCATCCTGGCACAAGAAAATATGGCACTAAATCTAATTACACCAATTCTCCACTTCAAGAGGCTTTAGCCAAAATTAAATTAGAAAAAATGTCGATTGGTTAAGCTTTTAAAATTTATAAAGTACCTAAGGCAACATTATTTTATAAGCTAAAAAGTAAACACTGTAAATCAGTAAGACGCCCTATTGCCCTTAGCATTGATGAGGAACTTTGTTTTGAAAATCACTTACTTTTAAGTGACAAAGGATTGGCCAATTGGAATTAATGATTTTAAAAGTATTGTCAAAATCTATCTGGATGATAGTGGAAAAAATATACAACAGTTTAAAGATAACCGACCAGGTTGGAAGTGGTGTAAACTTTATCTTGACAGGCATCCATCATTAAAAGAAAAAGTATCTCATTGTATTTCAAGGAAACGTGCACAGATTAATTATTGTCAAATAAAATTATTTTTTCAAAATCTAGAGAAGGAATTAAATGGAGTAACGCCAGATAACATTTATAATATGGATGAAACAGGGTTTCATGATGACCCTGGAAAAAAAAACTTATTTTTCGTCGATCCTCTCGCCATCCAGAACTTATAAGAAACACAACAAAAACTTGTTACACTGATGTTTTTTGTGGAAATGCCTCAGGAAAACTAATTCCACCATTTTTCATTGTTAAAGGAAAACACAGTTGGTCTGACTGGCTTTTCAACGCACTAGAAGGATCAAGAATGGCAACTTCTTGCAGTGGCTGGATGGAAAATCAAATATTTGAAGAGTGGCTGTTAAATCACTTTGTTCCAAATATTATAAATAAGGAAGGTAAAAAAGTTCTTATTTGCGATAATATAAGTGCTCATATATCTTTAAAAGCCTTAAATATATGTGAAAAGCATAATGTAACATTAATATGTTTGGTACCCAATTCCACACACCTTTTACAACCTTTAGATGTTGGATATTTTTCGAGTTTAAAAGCTGATTGGAGGTCAGTTCTTAATCACTGGCGTAAAACATCCAGAGGAAAAAAGGTTAATAACCTGCCAAAAAATTTGTTTACGCAGCTCATTAAATCTACTCTTAATGTTGGGAAAGAAAATCTAGAACATAATCTCCAAGCAGGATTTAAGGCTACTGGCATATATCCATTTGTACCAGAACATGTTCTCTCCAAATTACTCAGTTTTACAAATATAGATATTCAACTCAATATTGGAGAATCGTTTATGAATTATGTTAATGATATTCATCTTAATTATGAAGATAGCAAAAAATTTAAGTTACCAATAACAACAGGGAAAAATGTAACAGCCACTGAGGTAGAAGCATACTATAAGGAAAGAGACAATAAAAAAAAAAGTCAAGATAATATTTGAGCAAAGGAAAGAGGAAGACCAGTTGGATCAAATAATATGGTTATGAAAATAAACAAAAAACTTAATATTTTACAAAGTTCAAGCATCGTAAATGTTAATCAAGTTATTGTAGACAATGAACAAGTTTTACTTGTATCTCAAAATGATGCAGTTTTTTCATTGGAGCAAGTAAACAATCACTATGTACATGTTTTCCTTGATCATGATTATTTTGTTTACACCCTTAATGTAAAAATATTTGTTATCTAGTTAAAACATGTAAAAATATGTAAAACAATGTAAAAATATTTGTTATCTAGTTAAAAGTTGTTATCTAGTAAAACAATTTTTGTAGAGATAAACTTAGCGCAAACCGTTCAAAGTTACCCGTAATGACTGTACGCAACAAGTTGTTTTGAGAACATTCAAGTTTATCTATGTTTCCATCTATGTCCGCATAACAATAAGTTTTTAAAATACACGCTAAAAAAATTTACTTCATAACATCTCATTTTTCCAAATCAAATGTTTTTACATGAGACAATGATTATAAAACATCCGCTGATATTAAAACATTTAAACTATACTTGTACATTATTCCTACGTTTTTTAATTATGTAATTAAAAAGGTATATTATAATATAAAAAGTATATATATCTTTTTCCATGTTTTGTTATAAATATATAATATAGGACTATTTACTAGCTGTCTTGAAAATGTACACTTTAACATTAATTTTTAAAAAATTTGTTTAAAACAAATTTGTTCGTTGAAATTTAGAAGATCCTGTATTCAGAAAGCATCACAATTTAACCGAATAGTCGGATAACCGCAAATTGATGAGAACTGTTATCCGGTTTTTGAAACGGATAACCGGCGAAATCACTAGGCAGAGTTAGATGTGGTGATGTAGAAAAATGATAACTTTTAATGATTCTGTGGCAGTGTTTCACTTGTATTCTGATGCACTTACTGGTAAATCAATTTCAAATCACAATTTAAATCTAATTAAAGTCAAAAACGACTGGTAAAATGTAAATTGGAAAATCTAATTAAAGTCAAAAACGACTGGTAAAGTGTAAATTGGAAAATCTAATTAAAGACAAAAACGACTGGTAAAATGTAAAATCTAATTAAATTGAAATATCTTGGATAGATTATAATTACCCTGAAGAAGAAAAAATAATAAAAAGAAACCATCGCACAATAAAAAGAATAGTAAGAAAACCAATAACTCAAGCAAATAAATAATAATCAATAAACAAATAATCGTCACAATATTGCTGTAAAAAAAATGACGTAATTCCAATGGAAAAATATATGGTTGCCAAAGAGGTTTTAAGCGATTAAGAAAAAAATCTTTTGGCAAAAAATTGCACAAACAAAAAATTTAAATTGGCAATTAAGTTTGGTTAAAACCACCTATTACCAAGTGGAAGCGAGGCTGAAGAACCAAGGATGTTTATCAACAAATTGTAGAGGTGGATGGAGTTTTGTGTCATGAAACACATCAGACCACAAAATGAAACTCAGCCATCATGCATTATTCCTGATATTAAAATAGACGTGGGCAGCCCGTGAATTTGTGAAAAAATTGTGGAAAACAGTGAAGAAAACAGAAAAGATGTTTCTGATACAAGCAAAAAGCACATTGAATCTAAAAATATATTTAAGAAACAGATGTGCTTTAAAAATGAAGTAATCGAGAGTATTGCATGCCTATAAAATAAATTGATTACTGTTTGTAATAAATAAATTGATGACTATTTATGGGTCAAAGGGGAGTGTGATTATATTATATAAAATGCTAGAATAATTTTTGATGACAGGTAGATTGCAATTCAAGTGTAGAATATAATATATTCTACACTTACTCTACTTTTATATAGAATATATATAAGTAAAGTATATATAAGCAGAATATAATTGAAAAAGCTTTTTAATTGATTTATTTATAAAATTATGTTTATAACTGCATAAATAAACTGTAAATAAATAAATAAACTGTAAAAATCATTTGTTTTATAAAAAATAAGCACTTTGACCAGACAAAAATAATAAAATATATAATTATACTTTTATAATTATTATTTCTGTTTATTTTTGTCAGTACTTATTCTTAATAATAGAGGGTGACCAGATACTTTTGATTTCATTTTCCTGACTAAAATGGAATTTCTCTGATTTGCCTATGTAAAATTAACAAATGTAGCAATAAAAAAAAATTATTTGTTTTGATAAAGTTGTGTGAGTTTTATTAGTCAAATATACTATGCCAAAAAATAATTTTTTTCTTTCAGTCTGGGTCCATCAAAATTTCCTGACTTTTCAATGACTTTTGAAAAATGAATTCCTTAATCTTTCTCTGACGTTTTAGCATAGTTTTTGAATTTCCGTAACTATTCCATGTTTTTCAGAATGCTGGCCACCCTGTTATACTGTTCATTTAATTATTTAATTTAATTATTTTTTTAAAGTTCATCTTTATTTTCATCTCTCCAAGCATTATGAGGGCTTCTTTGTCAATCCTGAAATTGTTTGCAACAAACATTTACTTTTTTAAATATGCTAAATTGTCTAAATATAAACTAACTTTGAATGATCATAAAATTCTTTAATATCACCCAATCTTCAAAAAACTGTGAAAAATATTAGCGATACGTTGGCCAGGGATGCGAAATCCTAGCAATTTTAAGGGACTTCAGGACTCCGGGTCAAAAAAGACCGACTTCTTAGACTCCGGACTCCGAAATTTTCTTTTTTTGTCTTAACCAGAGATTTTACGAATGAAAAAGTCCCTAAAAAGACATCTAAAGTTTCTATTATACTGTAAAAATTACTGTTTATTATTTATTGCTTTGCTCAAAAATTAACTATTTCTTTTCGGTTAAAGGTATTTACATTAATACTACTTATGTACTTTAAATGAGTGGATTTGTTAACTTTATTTAAAACTTTGGCATATAAAATTCGCCGAATGGTCACACACGAGCAGTGAACACCCGAGGGAAAAAATGAAGTACATTAGAATAAAGAAGAACTATTTATCGAACGAAGCATATTTTGACAGTTGTCAAGACAAAAATAAAGATTAATAGAGGAAAATTTCAAAACAAGTAAGACAGACAACACACCCAAGCAGTACTCACAATAATAATCATAAAAAACTAGTACGTACGAAGAGATACAACAAATATATAACCGAAATAAATTTTTTTTTAAAAAACAAAAAAATTGATAAACAAATAACTTAAAAAATAAAAAAACAAAAACAAAAAAATATGGATACAACAATGAAAGGCCTCAGAATGGAAAAAGAACATTAATGCTAATGTGAAAACATAATTAATGTAGTGATGAAGTAATAAACATCTCCTCAGAGTCGCGTCTATTATTACAGGCGTTTCGATGAGGATCAGCACCTATAACTAGTTTATCCCGTCAGACATACGTCATCGCCACTTGTGCTTTACCCCGCGATTTACGCCTTATCCATACTGCAGTAAAAAAGGACTCACTACAAATAGCCAAAACCCCACCAACCCAAAGTTTGTAAAACACTAATGTTTTTTTAATGGTATGATGTGAAAAGTGTAGATCAACTGTAAAAAATAAATAAAAATAACTAAATAAATCACTTACCATACCACCGAAAGAAAACATGAAACACAATAAATTAAAATTCTAATCGAAACATAAAAATATAAATAAATTCAATTTAAGATCTAAAACCAGATAGGTATTATAAGCATAAATAATCCAAAGAAATCAGAATACCTCATTAAAAATTTTTTAATCGACAAAACAACAATAGCCTTAAATAAACTCTAACGCTGTCATAGATACCTTATTCGAAATGTGATAACCAATCAAAAGTGTAGGAAAATGAAAAACCCGCGAAACCTAGAATCATAACAATGATAGAACAATGTGTGGTTGCGAAAAAACGTCGCACAAAGACCTTAATAAAGTCACCGGCATAAATGTAGACATTAAATGAAGGATATAAAAAAATTTCTCTGAATAATAATAAAAGAAGAAAATTGTGCATATGAAAATTCAAATAAAGTTGAGTAATCAATGCAAGATAATAAAACATAAAAATTCATAATAAACAGTAATAATATGAAAATCAGCAGATAAATAATATATTAATGAATAATGCAATAAGAAAAACTAAATACTATAACAAAGCCAGATAAATTTAAAATAAATGAGTGGTTAAAAATTTATTTTGGGTAACATAACAGTGATATAAGTCGTGATATAAAAACGATATACGAAGCGGGAAAAAATATTGTAAAAAAGTTTTCTCTACGATCCGAATTACAAGTAACTTTGAGACCATTTCTAAACCGAAATATCTGAAAAGTAAAGGTTTCTCTACGGTCCGATTTCAATGACCATAACAAACGCACGATAAAATTTTATTAAAAAACTAGTAAATTATAAATAAAACTAGAAAATTGATATAAGGTAAACCAATAATAGTATGTAAATAGTAACTCTTAGGAAATGTAACTTAGTAAAGAAAAAATAGATTTTTTTATTTATGTTTTTTTATGCGCCGTCTGGATTAGAAATTTTTTGATGGATTTGATGTTTTTGAAACTCGCAATAGGTGGAGTTATCCATATATTTTTAAGATCAGGATCCTGTTCAACAATATTCCAGTGCTTTTTAACTATTTTATTTTTGAGTTTTCCAACTTTTCCAAATGTTGTAACCATCGGTAAAATTCTCTCTTTCCTCTTCATATTTGTTGTAGATAAGTTCGTGTTGTGTATGTCGCAGTGCTTGTTTAAAATCTTTGTTAATAGATTGAATAGGGTAGCCTCGTATAACTAAAATTTGTGCTAATTGTTTTAGCTCTTTTATTAGTTGTAATTGTTGGATATAATCTTATTGAATCTTAACGCTTGGCTATATATTAAATTACTTTTTTGATGAGGGTGATGGAATTAATTATAATGCAACAGTGCTGTTGTATCAGTTGCCTTTTTGTATATTGTTGTTTCTAACTGTGCATATAGCTTTTTGTTAATTGTTAAATCCATGAAATTAATAGAAGTGGTAGAATTATTGAAAGTAAATTTGATCGTTGGGTGGATGGCATTCATAAATTCGAAAACTTGTGTTAGTATCTCCGGAGGCCCATGAAAAATAAAAAATATATCATCTATAAAACGTTTATAAAAAGAAATCCACATTGAAAATTGGTCAATTATTTTCTCATTAATTCTTCCCATAAATAGATTAGCATAGGGTGGAGCCATACGTGTCCCCATGGTAGTACCTGTTAATTGTAAAAAATGATCAGTCGAAAATTGAAAGTTGCTGTGGGTTAGGATTGTTTCTAATATAATGTCAATAAAAGCAATAGGTGGGCGTTTAATGGGTCCGTTAAATGGCGGTGCTCTCTTTAAATAAAATTTTACAGCGTCAATACCCTCGCGATGAGGAATGTTTGTATACAAAGATATAACATCAGCCGTGACAAGAATGTAATTGTTGGTTTCTAGTACATGAGATTGAAGGAGTTTAAGGAAATGTGTTGAGTCTTTAAAGTATGCTGTTAATTGTTCAGCAACTGGCTGAATAAATTCTGTGATAAAGAACGGTAAGTTATTGATTGGTCCGTCACAATCAGAAACAATTGGTTTTAAGGGAGTGTCTATCTTATGAATCTTGGGAAGGCCATAAAACAGGGGTGTACGAAGGGGTGTTTTTGGTCGTAGAAGCTCTGATGTTTTTTTATCAATCATATGATGAAGAAATATATAGTCAGTAAGATTGTTAACATCTCTCGCTATACTTTTTGTTGGGTCTTCTGCGAGTAGTTTATATGTATTTTTATCTGATAAAAGTAGAGAGATCTTCTCTTCATAGTCAGTTTTATCTAAAATACAAATGCCCCCTCCTTTGTCGGCCTTTTTTATGATAATTGTGGGATTAAACATAAGGGAGTTTAATGCGTGAATAAGTTTAGGAGTTAAATTTTTTTTATCTTTTGGTAGTTGTGAGAAAATAAGTGCGGTTATATCACATTCTAGCAAGTTAAGATAACTTATAATAGTTTTGTTTTTTGTCATAATGGGAGACAAATTTGATTTTTTATGAAATGGATGCCTCATTATTTCTTCGGTCCCAAAGTAGAGATGTTGGAAAAGGGTTGTTTTAAATTTTTCAAAAGCTGTTATGTGCATATTAAGTGACGTATTTGTAATTGAAGGAATAAAATTTAAACCCAAAATTAAGAGCTCTTTTTCATCGTCTGTTAGAACGTGTTTTGAACGTGTTTTGAACGTGTTTTGATAACTAGTTTATTGTAAAATAGATGTGAAAAATTTGACTTAGCCTGAATGATTTCTTTATTATATTGCCTCATGTTGCTATGTGGTGTTGACGAAAACAATTTAGCCAGAGTAAATGGTGTAAAATTTCTTTTTTCGTTAGACGGAGTAAACAGTTTTCTTTGCTGATCCTAGAGAAAAATATTTTATCAAGGATTTCTGTAATAACCAAAAACAACAGGTAAGAGACAAGTAGACATGTAAAAGACAATAGAAAACTAGTGAAGATAATTTAAAGTCAAACACAGCATTGAGACAGCAAACACAGTATTAAAGTTTGTGGATCCGAACTGAATGATAGACACCATTAAACGATAAGCTTAATGGTAAAATAGATGCATATAATATAAGTTATTACATGCTAGAACAATAAACTAACAAATAATATAAATTTTTATTGATAAAAAATATTTTTTGTTAAAGTTATTTTATGTAGTCCGAATCAAAATTTAAGCAACTAAGAGACCTTAACAAAATACTACTTATGTAATTTAAATGAGTGGATTTGTTAACTTTTTTACTTTTATACTTTGACTAGCGGATCGCATACTATGTTAAAAAGTTTTCTTATTTTATTTTTTTGATACAGTTTAATCATTAAAACATTAAAAATTGTTATAAAACTTGAAATTATTTTTGTCAATATTATATATAGCATCAAATACATATTTAAATAAACTATATATAAAAATAAATATATATATATATATAATACAGCATTCTAACAAAAAACTTATTCATGCGCAAAAAAAGCATATCATCAACTAAATCGAATGTAAAGCGACTGCGATGATCCGGAGTCATGTGCTTTAACACCGAAAATAGTTGTCACATGCTTACTTGAGATATCAAAGCAAAATCAAAACAACTCTGCAGGCATCCCTTGCAATTTCTGGGTTAGTCGAGTTGAATTGGACAAGTTACTCTTAAATTCTGTTTCATTGAAATATAATATAATTCGTTATTTATACACATTTTTCAACGTTCTTTTTTTAGAATTTTCATCAATAAAATTTAAATAAAAATTAATAAAGACAGGAGCAAGTAGAAGACAGAAGTCTTGTCATCAAGCCCCTTAGAAAGCGTAAAGTACTTTTAACAAATTTCTCATTATATAGTTTTACAAATACTCGTTATATAAAAACAAGTTAACACATTATTACAACAAAAATACCATAAATTAAAAAAGATAAATTAATAAAAATAAACAAATATTTTTTTTTTACCTAAAAATGCAAATATATGTTTGCGTCTGTTATTTCAAGTAAATACTGTTTAACTATATTTTTAAAACAATTTATTGAAGTTATACTTTTCATTTTTTTACTAAGAACTATGTTCCACAGGCGAGGGCCTCTATATGAAATTGAGTAACCAGATATTTTAAGAGTTGACTTTGACAAGTTTTGGAACACGTTTAACTCATAGACATTAAGAGCTTTAATTTCCCGGAGTAACGGCGTATTTATGCACATTAAATATAACTCTACTGGCTTGTTTTTGATTAATATATATATATATATTTTTCAATGCTAAAGAGTAAATACTTGCCCAAGCAATATTACAATAGCTTATGTAGCTATGGATAAAACAATAATGCAAATCTATTAAACATTTTTTACTTAGTAGGTGTTTTGTTTTATATAAAATGCTTATAGTTTTAGAAATTTTGTTTTCAATTAGCGTAATATGATTTTTCCAATTAAGATGTTCATCAAATATTATTCCTAAAATTTTAAGTGATGAAACTCTGTTTACTATATTGTTATTTATTATTAGCTGAGGAAGCTGCAGAGGCAAGTCATTGAACTTAGATTGGTTATGAAATAAAATGTACTTAGTTTTACTGATATTCAAAGAAAGTTTGTTTGGTTTAAACCAGTCATTAAGATTTTCCAGCTCATGATTAACTGTGAAAAAATTGATTTTAAATTGGAATGGGTATAAGAAAAGGTTAGTGTCATCAGCAAAAAGAACAAAATTAAGCATGTTTGAAGGGAGATAAATATCTTTTACGTAAATCAGAAACGGTAAGGGTCAAAAGAATAGAGCCTTGAGGAACTCCGCAGCTTATTGTTTCTAACTTTGTGCACGTTGAATCAAAAAATACTCCTGGTTTGCTAGTTTTAAGGTAGCTTTGTAGCCATTTGAAGATGTTATTTGTTTCTCCATATGTTTCTAGTTTGTACAAAAGAATTTTATGATCAACAGTGTCAAAAGCTTTTGACAAGTCAATGAACAAGCCGAGTTTTAATTGCACAAAGTAGGTTCTGCACATCTTCTTCTGAAAAATTGCTTTCTATCTCCTTTTGGCACAGTAAAAATAAGTTAGGTCTCTGTTTTTACTGTTGTGACATGCGCCTTGTGTTTAGAATCTAAATCAAATACAAAAATAGCATGAGAGTTGGTAAATATTACTTGATAATATTGATATTACTGCTACTTGTTTCAACTTGTACACTCTTATTTTTTTTTTCAGTTTGTATTTTATTTTGCAAAGGCCGTCAGCTGCAGTCATCTAAAATTTGTAATTTTGAATACGCGTAATTTTATATTCGTTTATGTAAAATGCATTTATACAATATATACTTATATAAACAAAGTGGTGATAATATTATAATTATAATAAACTATATTAATAAAAAAATCTTGTCTTCACTTTTCAGCATGCAACCATGTTAAATATCTATGTAAACCACTGCTAGAAAAAGTGAATTTTCTTGTAGGACAAATTCCCGATTGATCACTCCCTTCTGAATATCTTTTGCTAACTCATGGTCTTTGCTATTAAATTCACACCTTATTGAGTTCTAGTCAAAGAGAAACTCACCTGCAGTGATATTCTCTAGGTGAAGGCAAATAGTGAGTTTGCAAGCCGCCTAGCTAACTCTCCATGCTTAGTCCATGCATGGGATTCATTGGCTGAACCACTGCACCGGAAATGCCGTTCATATTCCAATGGTTCGCCATGTTTGTTTTACGATGTGCCGATCTTTTTCCAGACAAATGAAATATTATATAACTAGATTTCTAACTTCAATCCGAAAAGTGAAGCCGCTCTTGCTCTTTTTACAAATGGCGGATTAAGTTTGTAAACAAATATTTCACACTTTTCTTTTCTTAAATAAAGTAAATATATTTTAATTTTAAATACTATTTAAGTGAAAGTGTTAAGTGAAAGTTATAATACTTGTAAAATATTAATTTAGGATTTACTATTTTTTTTTCGATTAAAAAGGGATTAAAGTTTTGTATAGAAAAGTAAAACAACAGACGCTTTTAAAGAATTTGTATAAATTAAAATATTCTTTAATAAACATAGACTCATAATAAAACTTTTAGAAGTATTTTATAATTATTAAAATTTGTTTTTGAATTATCTTTAATTTTTTGTGAACTTTTGACTTGCATTTTTAACTTTTACTCCACACTTCGGCTTCAGCTTTTGCCCTTTTACAAAGGCGGCCTATTGTTATAAACAAAAAATAGCGGCTTCACTTTTATATATATATATATATATATATATATATATATATATATATATATATATATATATATATATATATATATATATATATATATATATATATATATATATATATATATATATATATATATATATATATATATATATATATATATATATATATATATATATATATATATATATATATATATATATATATATATATATATATATATATATATATATATATATATATATATATATATATATATATATATATATGAATATACAGACGTGTTCAAACTATTAGACTAAAATTTTTTTCTCGTTTTTTTTTTATTTTTTTAAAAATATTACAGATATAACGTTCGTAAATATAAAAAAAACCCTAATTAATACTTGGTATGGAGCCCCTTGGCTTTAATAAGCATATTAATGCGGCTCGGCATGCTTTCTACCAGAGTTTTACAAATGTTTTTGATGTCTTGGTCTTGATGCCATATTTGTATCAGTTTTTCGATGAGTTGCACTTTGGTGGTAATTGTTTCTTTCTTGATCTTTTTCTTTACAACAGCCCACAAATTTTCAATGGGGTTCATGTCGGGACTATTTCCTGGCCACGGCAATGTCTTGATTCTGCTCTGCTGAAGAAATTCTGTCACTTTTTTGGCTTTATGACACGGAGCCCCATCGTGCATAAAAATTACATCTCCCTCTGTAAACCATGTCTTAATTTGGGGCATTAACCTATTTTGTAGCACTTTAATATATTGTACATGATTCATGGTGCCTTCTACAATGTACAACATTCCCGGTCCGTGTATTGACATGACTCTCCACACCATAACAGACGTTGGATGCTTAACACTCTGGCTAACACACTCTGCCTTGAACTCTTCTCCTGGTCTTCTTCGAACATATTGGCTCTGTTCTTCCACCACCAAAAAGATGGATTCATTGCTAAAACATACCTGGATATAATAAATATACAAATGAGTACACAGAAACACTTTGCAAAAAATTACAGATAAAATTTGAGAGATTCTTTAGAAAAAAAAATTGCCTAAATTTTTTTAGAACTCATCTTCATATTTAAAATAAATTTTGATATCAAATGTTAAGTGAAAACTCTCAAAATGACTTTGAATACAATTTTTGCATACATTTTACCTTACTCCAGTCATAGATAGACATGTTTTCATGAATTTTAGCCCATTCTAGCCTCTTTTTAGCCATCGCTGGTGTAACCTTTGTTTTTTTCGTGGACGACGACTTTTCAAACCACTTTCAAAAAGCCTTCTCCGAACAGTAACTG